TGGCTGTGCCCCCTCGCCCGTGTTGCCATGGCGAGCGCCGGGCACCATGGCAAGAGGGGCACCAGGCGAACAACACAACCACAGCTCGGCAGGGAGAAGAGGGGTGGGCACAGGCTGCTGCTTTCTCCTGCCTGTATGAGCAGAGGCAACGGTGATTCGATGAGCAATGGAGCGCTGCAGTCAGTGGGGGGGAGGAGGGAGCTGATTGTGTCCTCAATTTCTTTTTCTATTTCAAAAGGGAAATTTCAGGGGTCTGTTTAGACCCTAGATATTTTTTCAGAAGCCTACTCTACAATAAAAAAATAAATACAAAATAAATAAAAAAAATACAAAATAAAACGTCCTGGAGACGTGACACGTGACGTCACATGACGCCGTGCGTGCGCGGCATCGGGTGTCGTCACATGCCTGTTGGGGCGGCACAATTTTTTGTTCTTGCCTCGGGTGCAAAAGGAGCAAACTACGGCTCTGCAGTCACATGTTGATTATTTGCCATTAACACTAGGGAGGCCTGCAGATCTGCAGGAACATAAACTTGGAACTGAAACTTCTGTGGCTCCTTTTCAATTACCACTAGTCTCTTGGTTTTAAAATCACACTGGCACACTAAAAGACATTTTTAAACCAGTGCTACTGAATTGTTATTCTTTGAAAATATATAATATTGTGTTGGCAATACCCTAAAAAATCATCAATAGCAATAAGAATTTTACCATAGCGGGAATTATTTTATTATGTACTGTATATAGCCAAAATTAAACATTCTTCTCATGAAAACACACACACATACTGAATAGATATTCCTTTAGGGTAAATCAGTTTAAGAAAATACTGTTCTTTTAACAATAGATATACAGATACAATTACATATCCATTATTGTGCAACTGCCCCAGTAATTTATGTAAGACAGGCAAATGAAGAGCTACACATGTCAAACAGATAACAAAACCTTAAGGATTCCCATCAATCTTGATGTCCTTATAAATAAGGTAGTAACTATTTCAAAATTAATCTATGCCTTAAATGACTAGGGTGAAAATAGAGCTCCATTCAGAGCAATGTCAGAAAAATTCAGTCATATGTTTTACATATAACTGACATGCAATACAGCTTTAGCTGAAGGCTTACAAGTTTATGAGCAACACTGACTGCTGTGTAATCTCCTGCAGAATAAGCACACACAGTTCCAGATGAGGTGGTAAGAGTGTGCATCCTAAAGCCAGAGCTTTAGGATGAGCACACACAGTTCCAGATGAGGTGGTAAGAATGTGCATCCTAAAGCCAGAGCTTTAGGATCCCTACTTAACCAATCATATTCAAATGTTCAAGGCATGAATAACTCTTTCCCTGTGAGAGGGAGATAACCTGGTTAGAAGGCACCCAAGTCAGATGGAATGTAATCACCAGGAGTACCAGCAGTATGGTCCAACGGTGTGTTGCGATATATCTTAGTGGACTTTTTCAGACACACATAGATTTGCAATAGAGATGGAGGTTTTGTTTGTTTGTTGATAGAAATCTGGGTTCATACAATGGAAGGTGCCACCTAAACAAACCAAACTGGTTTTTCACAATGGTGTAGCTTGTCCTGTATTGATTCGTATCACAATGGGATGGTGATCGTAAACAGTCACACCTAGCCTGGTCAAGACTCAAATCTTGACTACTGATGGCAATTTATGGTACAACGCTGCCACCTAGAGGTGGGTACGTGAAATGCATTGTATTGCATTTTAGATAAAGGTGAAAGGGGGCGGCGCTTCCAAAGTGTGTGGCCAGTTTCTCTCAATAAAAAGCCAGTAGCTGAAAGAAGCACAACACTTCACCAGACCAGGGCTTCACAGGAGGGGGACAGTACGAGGACGCTTCACAAGACGAGATGACTTGCTTCAAGACCAGGACATACAAAGGATACTGCAATGAGAAGCCATTCTTCCTAGGCCAAGTCCTGCTCATCACGGAATTTGTGGAGCCTGCAGCCTGAGCTAAGTACATTTTCAGTGTTTCCCCTCCTAGAAATCATACATGTACTAGAAGATAGTGTATGTGCATGTGATAGGTGGGTGCATGTTATAGTTTGTAGCAGCCTGTCTTGTTTATGTATTTGTTTGCTTTTCCTGTAACCAAGTTTGTACACGCAGCATTTTCGCCAAGTAAAGTACTTTTAATGCTACTGGGTCAGTTTCCTTGAAGTTTACTGCAAGAACAGACAACAAATAGAAATTAAAGTTTTGCCAAGCTTTACAGCTGGGCTCGTCCTTGCGATAAGCTTGACGTCTCTGGGATTTGTAGTCCAGAGCATTACAAACGGTCTGTTGTGTCCCTGGATGCACATAGGAGTAGAACAGTGGAGTGGAACAGGAGGAGTGTGGAGAAGTAGCTTGCATAAATATTGTCCACAACATGAGAACATTGTATGCCACAGCATTCACAGCTTGGGGGCATCCTGCATGCTGGCTCTGTCCACTTGTTGGTAGAGGTGCATAAGAAAACATGCCCTCCAGGAAACAAACTTAAGATCAAAAGGTTCTAAATTTATATTCTATATAGTTTTGCATTTAACTTCCCTTAAAAGTTGTTCTGTGTTAATAGCAAGGCACCCCATATTTTATACTTGCAAATAACATCTAGGGTAAAGTAGAGTATACACTGATAGATTTTTAAACAAACATTCATATGAAAAATCTTGTTGAAATGTTTGAAAATACAATCAGAAACTTTGTTTTGATTTAACATTTGATTTTGGAATGGATGTAGTTTCCCAAACAAAAACCACATTTACTGTTAGAATTTTCCAATATAATCCTTTGACTTTTTTAATCGTTGCTGTCTCAAAATTGATCATCGATTTGACCCTATCAACTATTAGAAAGTCGAACCGTCAGAAATTAATTTCATTCGTACTAAATTTGTTCAGTGTATACCCTACTTAACTCACAAACCCTAAATGTGATCCATTCTAAACCCTGGTGTTTATGTTTGTGCGTATATGGACATGCACGTTTTGGAACGTTTATACGCAATGGTGCATGCACGCTCATTAGCATGTATGCTATCCTATATAAACTGACAAGAAGCCATGACCAAGTTGCTGAGTGGTCTTCAGCTAGTCCCTGTGTGCCCTGTACTCTGTTCCAGTATCCTGATTTCCTGTGCATGAACCCGGTTTGTGACCATTGACTCCACTTCCTTCTTCTGATTTGGTACCTCTGCTCTCTGATCTCCTGTGTATGACCCTGGCTCATGATCCCTGACCTTGCTCCTGATCTGTGATTCGGCACTTCAAGATTTGGCTTCCTGTGTATGACCTCGGCTTGAACCTGACTCCGCTCATGGTCTGCCACTTTGTGGATTGCTCTATGAGTACCCTGAGCAGCTACATCCAGCCAGTGCTTCGTTGGCCCCTCACCCGTTGCCTGCTCTGGTTCCCAGAGGTCCCAGTGTCATCCCAGTCCTGCTGATTCATCAGCTGGTCCAACGCACTCCCACTCCATCCTTACATCCCCTGTCCCATCCCAGAGGTGTGGGATGAGAGGTGTATGGGCAGCCCCCTTGTCAGCTGAGTCTCCAGTTAGGTACGTGATTGTGTGTGTGTATGTATGTGTGTGTGTGTGTGTGTGTGTGTGTGTGTCACAATGGCCAAGTCACACTTAGTAAAAAAAAACAAAAAACACATTCAGTAAAGGTAGCTACTTAAAGTTTATCTAAACCCAAAAAACAAAATGTTATATATTACAGTTCACTAATCCTTAGATGTAATGGCTGCATTAGTATTCTTTCAGGAGTTGTTTCCATTAATTTTTACCCTTTGACCCTGCCAGTAACACAAATCCTGGCCTAGGTGACAATGCCTACCCACTAATTTGATATAACTAAACCTCCCTTTCTCCTCTCTCAGTAACATGGAGGAGGTGTTTTGTAGACAAGACTTTCAGAGTGCACAAGACAGCACTGGATTTATGACAGGATAGGTACCTTATCAGGTATTTGTTTCTGTTAGTATATTTGTTAGTATACGTCTAATAATTATTTATGAGTATTTTAATATAGAAATGTGTCATTCAACATTTTCTGGTATTTATGTCTAACATAATCTTTTAAACACAATTTTGATATGTCTGTCATCAGGTCACATTTTGAATCTACAGGAAAATGTTTAATATTGATTAATCATTTCTGCGTGCATTTTATCAATAACCAGTTTTTACAATTATGTCATGTAGGAGTGTGGGCAGAGCTACCTCTCTCACTTACTAGGTTTCTCCTTTAATCAAGAAATAGGATTAGCAATTAATCATCTGTCGATTAAGGGATACAAGAGATCTTTGCTTATTCACCTCCTAAATGCTGCCAGGGCCTGCATCCTGATTGGGCCTTCCATTATAGAAACAATCTCCCTCCCACAATAGGTCAATGGTTTGCTAGGATAAATGATACAAGGTATACATGAGACCGAACAATGCAGAAGAGCTGAAGGCCGCTATTGAAGCATATATGGTCTTCCATAACACCTCAGCAGTGCCACAGGTTGATAGCTTCAATGCCATGCCGCATTGAGGCAGTAATTGCTGCAAAAGGGGCCCAAACCAAGTACTGAGTACATATGCATGCTTATACTTTTCAGAGGTCCAATATTGTTCTATGTACAATCCTTGTTTTATTGATTGCATCTAATATTCTAATTTTCTGAGATTGTGGATTTGGGGTTTTCATGAGCTGTAAGCCATAATCATCACAATTATGACAAATCACGGCTTGAACTATCTTGCTTTGCATGTAATGAGTCTATCTCATATATTAGTTTTACCTTTTAAGTTGCAAAAGTAAAAAAAGAAGAGTTATATTTTTTTTATTCCAAAGATATCACATTTAGAATATCAACTCAGTACCATACTTGAACACAATAGGTTCTATACCCCTTAGGCTGCAGATTAAAGTCAGCAATGTGTCCCTCCCTATAGATAACCACTTACGTTACTTTAGCTGGGAAAGCTCTTACCTGATAAACATGAAAGGCACGGGTAGATTTACTTCTCAGAAAAACTAAGGGTATCCAAACATTTATAAGGGCACGGTGTGATCTGTAATAAAAAATACATCTATACAGGTTACTGACATTTACATGAAAGGTGCTACAACCCAATATTATCTATTGTAGGACAATGGAAATAAGAATCTATACAAATATTCAAGCACTGAGTTGTGTTAACAATTTATGTCTAGTGGTAGCTGCCTTTGTTCCACTCCTGGAAGCACCTATAGTTCTCAGACATGCACATCACTTTGTGTCATACTGCAGAGGTGTGCTCTAAACCAATATCTATCACTGTTTCTAGGATTTTGGGCAATGCCACCACCAGTGCTGGTTGGGATCAGGGCCATCTTAATAATAGGAACAAAGAGAGCAGCTGTCCCAGGCCTTCCACTCCAGGGGGCCCCCATGTAACATCCTGTGCCCTGCCTGTACTTGTTCTCCGGCCACCCCAAACATTTAGACCCCAGCTTTGTTTACATTCTGAAGGCGCCTCAATCAGACGCCATTACGGTTCTGCTCCAGAGCTACCCAGCAATGAATGCTATTTTGCACTTCTGAAAAAGTTCCCTTCCTAAAGCGCAACTTTAGCTCCTGGGTCCTGGCATGACTAATATGGCATGTCAATAGGAACACAGAAGATGATTCTCGTACAGGAAAGATAGAATAGCAACTTTAAGGTCGACATAAGAAAAACATGAATTCTTCAAATTACATTCTTCAGATATGCCTTTAAACTATATGTGGTATTACAAAACAGTACAATTCTCCATTAAAGCATCAGCAACACCATATTCTGGCATCACATCATTTATATATGTGTAATAGTTTTTTTTAATTTGACAATATTCCTTGACTTACATTAAGAGGCAGCTCTCTTAAGTGATGAACTTTAAAATGAAAAAATAATTTTGGTAGTTTGTGCTGTCACTCACTTTATACTTTGACTTTCAAAACAATTGCCAAACAAATAATATTTCATAGCTTGGGATCATCTTTAGTGCTGTTCCACGCTGTATTCACTACAAAATTTAATAAAATGTCAACAAAGGGTACACAAAAACTCTTTAAAAGAGCAAGAGACAAGGTAGGTTTTATCCTGAAGTAAAAATTACAGAATATTATTCTAGAGACAAGAGCCAGAAAATTTAGCACAGACAAACTGCACATCTCGGAAGCCATTTTAGTGGCCAAAAAACAGACAGAAATATAGCACAGACACAGTGTACATAATGGAAGCCTTTTTAGTAGGTCACATTAGAAGAGAGAGAGACAAGGACATTTAAAAAAAAAACTAAAATATTTCAATGGATTATGCAGGATACAAGAGCTGGAAATATTGTATAGTCTGCATTGAGTCAGTTGGAATAGACCACATTGTGAAAAGAACACACGGCATGCAGATTTTCATTCTGCAAATCTACATCTAATTGTGTGAATTACAGAAAACAATCAATATTGTCCAGACTACTTAGGCAATATTTTATTGGGTAAATAAGGATAAGAGAGTATTTTAACTTAACCCCTTCATGACTGAGCTAGTTTTCAGTTTCTGTTCATAAATGACTGACACACTTTTTACATTTTTGCTGTGTGATTCTTCCACAGCAGTAATATACTTTCTTACTAAATGTACCCACACATATTATATATAGTTTTTTAGAGGACAGATAGGGCTATATAATTGCATCACATATGTGTACCTAACCCCTTACCTAGTTTGAATAAAATAAAAAAAATGAGGAAAAAAACTAGAAGAAAACACTTTTTTTCACAAGTTTTGATTATTATTAATTTTTTTAGAATTTTTTTATATTAATGATAGTATAAAAATATATTTATATATAATTTTTATTTTCCTAATTTTGTAAATACAGGATCGCAAATTGCGGTCCTGTATTTGCATGTAACGGCTTGATTCTTTCATTACTGAAAGGAAGAAGCTTCTTTATTTCATTAATGAATGCCTCAATACTGAGGCATTCATTAATGACTGGTAACCACTGAGAATCATCTGTTACCAGCATTACAAAGCCTAATATAACTCGTCACGTACAGTGTACATGGCCAGTCATATAGGCACAAAGTGCCGGTACGTACACTGTACGTCTCCCGTCACGAAGGGGTTAAAAAAAGAAGTAATATTGTACACACTGCATAGGTATTATTTCTACTAGTTTTGAAGCTCCTTATTGTAAAAACTAGATCCCTATTTAGTGATGGAGACACAAAATGTATAAAACTCTTTTTAGAATTCCTTGTTTTATGATACACACAGTATACTTAATATTTCTAGAATTTATTTTAGACTTCATTGCAAAACCACATTTATGTTTGGAGGACCCAAAAAAAGGTAAATATTTCTTAAATTCCATTTGAAGTAATATGCCACAAACAGCATACAATTTGATTTCTACAATTTATTGTAAAGAACATTGACTAAACCACATTCACAGTTATCTGGAGGAATAAAAAAAAAAAGGTTTTCATATGGCACACACAGCATACAAAATAATTCTACAATTTGCTGAGACCTTATTAGCCAAAGCACATGCCTATTTAGCTTTGAAGTGTTCAAAAAAGGAAAGTTTATATTTTTAATATTACAATGGAAGCAATATGATAAACACTGCAAATGTAAAAGTTTAATACATTTCTGGGAAGCCTCATTGAATAAAACACTTAGTTAATGCAGTTTTTGTGGACAAATATCAAAATAAAGTGGAAATGTGTCACTGTTAAATAGTTAACATTAAATTCAGTTACATAAATAAAATACAATTTCAATAAAATGTAATTAATATGTTAAATATTCTTTATTGACAGAACACTGGAATAGGCTGAAAAAGGAGACAAACAGCAATATTTAGCCTGCAGCAAACACTAATTTTTACAACTGCAGAGCACCTGCGGAAACATTAGGTGTGCCACCCTGAGCAAAACACACCATACATTTTTGTAGGTAAGACAAAAATCCTGTTATCTAATTCATACATTACAGGATACATTTTTAACCACTCAAAAGCAGTCAAACAGAGGGACGGGCAACACAACAAACAACAACTAACAGGCTCAAGAATAACAATCCCACAAGGGAGCAGAGAACTAAAAAAAAAAAGAGGCATGCCCAAATTTATAGGGTCTACTAGACGACCTTTCAGGCCACAATTGGCATCTGCAGAGGCCTGAATGTCCACCTGGTTGAACTTGACAAACGTGTGCACAGAAGATCAGGTGGCAGGCTTACAGATTTCGAAAACCAAAGCCTGATGCTGAAACACCAAAGAAACATTTGCAGTAGAGTGAGCATTGACCGGAAATGGAGGAAATTTCCTGTTCTGCTTATAGACCAGAGAGATTGTCTGATGAATCCACCTAGCAATAATGGAAAAGGAGGTTGGTTGGCCCTGATGTGGACCCTCAGGGAGGAGGAACACAGAGTCAGAATGCAAATATCATGAGTCGCAGAGAGGTAAATTTTAAAAGCCCCAAACCATACACAGAGGAGGAAAATTTCTAAAGGATGTTTTGGTGCAGAACACAAGGATGGTAAAATTATGTTCTGGTTAAAATAAAGGGCAGAGACGACCTTAGGGAGAAAGAAGGCCTTAAGCCACAGCACAACTTTATCCTTATGGATTTCCAGAAAGAGCTCCTTGCACGGCAAGGCTGCTAATTAAGAAACATGCCTAGCAAAAGTGATCGAGATGAAGAAGGAATCCTTGTGTTTCCTTGTGTGTGAGCAAAGTTACCTGAGTGGTTCAAAGGGTGGCTTCTGAAGGGCCAACAGAACCAGACTGAGGTGCCACAGAGTCAACAAAACACATAAAGGGGAGAAAACACAGACCAGCATTTGCATGAAAACCTTTACTAAAGAGTAAGAGGCAAGTGGTCTCTGTAAGAGAAATGCCAAGGAGAAATCTGGACCTCGGCTCTAGTACTCAAGGCTAAGTGCTGGTTCAAGCTAGTTTGGAGGAAAGATATAATGCATTCCACGCAGTACTTCCTTGGATAAAACTTTCCAGCCTTACTCCAAGGAGAATACACCTTCCAGGTGTGATGGGAGACCCTGGAAGGGAGGTTGATTGCCTAGCCATAAGGAGTGTAGAGATGACAGGCTCCAATAGGCCCCCGTCCCTCGAGATTTGGGAGATAGCCATGTCCTTAAAGCCAGTGACTGAGAAGCAGGGTGGAATATCAGTCCTAGGGACAGGAGGTCTGGATGATCAAGAAGTACCCAGAGACAGTCTGCCAGGAGTTTGACTAAGCCATGTACAGGGGCCTCCTGGGCCAGTCAGACGCAATGAGGATAAAAGCAATGCCCTCTGTCTCAATCCTGTGAAGGAGATTTGCGCAAAAGCTTCAGGGGAGGTAAGGCATAGATCAGGTTTAACTTATCCAATGGAGTCGCCAAGACATCCACTGCAAAGACTTGTGGATCCCTGCTCCTGGTGACAAACCTATTCAGTTTGGTTTTTAACCTGGATGCCAGGAGGTCTACATCTGGTGTCTCTCAAAGCACCTCCGGATTAAAAAGGTACTGTTCCCGAGGTCCACATGGTGACAAACTGTTCGAACTGGAATGGAAGCTCCACTCAAGCCAGTATCAGGTCCACTTTCTTGTCTGAATAAATCCTGGTTGGATGACCCTGCAACAGGGAAGTTCGGCGTTGAAGAGTCAACAGAATCCCCCTAAGCGCCAGGATTTTTGTATCAGGAGCTGAGATTCCGCCACCCTGAACCAAAAGGATCTCTAGGACTCCACCCCAGTCTAACTTTCTGGCATATGTTACGACTACCATCCAAGAAATTGGAAGGAAAGACTTCGAGACTCCAGCTCTTGACTTGATATTCACATTTATCACGGCAAACTTTGTCTTGCTGGACAAGCAGATGGGGAGATATAGGGACTGAACCTTTTTTCCCCCCACTAACTGCAATGGCTTGGAGTGAAACTGAGGACAGGGAACCACCATCAGACCCAGAACCTTTATGCAAAACAGAATGGTTGCATGCCTCCTGGACCGTTGGGTCCAAGCATCCAAAAGC